AAAAAAAAAAAAAATCGAAGGCTAAAGTCAGGGAGAACTGTAGTACACACCAGTACGGCCTAGACATGAAAGAAAAGCACAACCTTATTGGAGCCAGTCGACAAACACAGAGTCCTCTAGTAATGTAAAGTACAAAATACATGTTTGCGTTCAGATTCACAAATGCGGAAGATGTAAATTAAAAAATCAATGTAAAATGGTGAACAATAATGTAGCGCCCCATCTGTTCCGAATTATTCATGAAATTATTATTATTTATTTTATTTGTCCGATTTTATTTTATTCATGCTCGATTATTATTTTATTTCGATTATGTGTTCGTAATTGTCTAAGTGCGTGTTTAGTAATTTTAATATCGAGCCGGATAGTAGAATATTATTTTTAATTATCGATCGAGAATTCTTGTTGTCGCGTGGATTTTATTTCGGCCCGATTAAATTAGTTCCGACCCAATTTAAATTAATTCCAGGCCCAAATGTGGTACTATTACTCTTAGCCCAATACCTTTGTAGATTACTAAGTTTGGCCCATATAGAGTTCACTTGCGCATATAGTATTTTTCTTCTCTTTCGTCGGCAAGACCAAGTCGTCACCGCTATCCGCACGTTCAAGTCTTTGTTACGATTTTGTTGCAAATTCAAATTCACGTTCTTCCAACTCCTTGCACTTATCTCTCCAGCATGCGCATATAACCCCTCCACCTCGTGCATAATAGTTCCATCATCATCCCGCAGCGTCACTCTAGCTCTCATCCTTCCCGTCACCATTATCCAGTCATCACCATCATCAAGCTGCAACCCTGCTTTCGATTTCTTTATTATAAAAAAAAAGAGAAGATTTCTCTTCTACTCGAACACAGAAAGCTCTTTTTCCCTCGCCATTGATTCCGGCGTCCTCCCCGCGAAGCCATCATCACCATCGTGACCTATTACTTCCGGCGAGCAGGTTCCTTCACGTGAGCAGCAAGTCATCGGACCCCACCAACCTCGGTCGTGAGAAGTCCAACAACCCCGTTCACCATCTTCTTCTCCGGCAAAACCACCTCCGGGCTACTCGTATGTCGCCGTCCGATCATCACCGAGCTCAGTCGTCGGCCATCATCGAGGTCAGCGTCATCCTCGGTTCACGAGCAGCATCTTTTGAGAAGTTTTTGAGGTCTGTTCGTTTGTACGTTTGCCCCGTTTGTCCGTTAGTCCGTTCGTCCGACCCGCTGTCCGGCCCATTTTCTGTTCGATAGCTCGTAGATTTCTGAAGACGGGTAACTCATTCGAACCCTCTCGTTATTCCGGTCGTTCTCGTATATCACATGTTAGATATTTATATCATACGTGCTATCGAATCCTTGTTTGAAGTCAAATTTGAAAAACTCTATTTATAAAACTGTGGCTGACGTCTGTTCGAGGCCGTTTTCGACCCTTGAATCTCGATCACATGTGTTTGATTTCTTCTGATGAAATGTAGTTCAGCTCCTTAGGTTTCATTTCGAGCAAGAATCGCATGATTATCATTTTTGTGCTAAAAATTATAGCCGATATACGGCGAGTGCGCGTTCAATTTTTGGTTTTCATTGTTGCAACAATGGTTCCTTCTGTTTTGCTGTTTTTGATATATTTCCCAATACCTAAGAAGGTTGATGCCTTCTGAGAATGTAGTATTTTCTATTGGCTTTCTCTGAGCTTTGGAATTTCGTAATTTGAGTTATATCGAATAAGTTATGATTTTTACGATAATATTGCGCGTCCAGTTTTTCCTGTTACCCGGCAGCTTGTGCGTAATTAATGTGTGACATGCTTATCGTGTCGTAATGTGCTCGTATGAACTTATGCTCTTCATAACAGTTATAGTTTTGTTTCTTATCTTTCAAATGAGATAAATTTCATGTTGATATGTGCTCTGTAGGTGGAGTTGTGTTCTTATGAATGTAGACATGCATGAGATAGAGTTATGTACCTGGACAGAAATCTGAGGTTGATTGTTAACTGATTTTGCATTACCTTAATGACCTTATATGCTTCTGTGTTCTGAATGAAAGTTGTAGAGGCATGTGTTAGGTTTAATTTGAGACTTGAACCATGTCATTTGGAGGTCTGTAGCTCGATCTAGGT